TTTTCAAACTCCATTCCGTACAGTGAATATCAACCAATCCAACCACCAAAGTAGGTTCTAAAATGGGTGGTGAATTCACATACTTCAGAATGGGATCCCATTGGTTTTGACCCACAGCCACTTTTCTATTGGGAGGAGATGATGGCCTGTCGGTAATTGGGGAGGGGACCATCCCAACAGCTGCAGCCTTCCGTTGATTCGTTGAGTGGGATGAGCGGATGTCCTGCAAGGACCCATTCATTAGGGGGTTTTCGCGCAATTATGAGAACCCTTTCCTTCGATCAGAACCCTAAGAAGGTTCTACCAGCCCCCTTTGTTGGGGTGGGGGGCTTTGGTTGCCTCTTTAAACGAGTACAGGAATAACCTCACTACTCATGTCCTACAAGGTCAGATTGGCTGGAAGGGGTGATTCCGAGATTCCCATAATATGTGCCATGATTAAAAGACCCGCTTTACTTGAGGATAGTAGGAATGGTCATCAGCCATCTAGTTCGCGTTTTAGGCAATTAATGCTGATGTTTCTACTAAGGTAACCGTAGCCATGAATCAATGCAAGGAGTTCTGACCGTAGCAGATGTTTTTCTTGAAGTAGGCAAGTTTTTGGAAGTGGCGGTCCGGGCATGGTGGCCACTTCTGAGATTCGTTTCTAAGGTAGACCTAAGGAGCTGCAAGACAAGACTCCATGATCTTCCAAAGCCCTTGCCACTTCAGTGAGCACGGCCGGTGTTGAGAGCATGTAGTTTTTCGACTTTTGAATATGCTGCTCCATTCTTTGGTCTCAGCAAACTCAGAGCCTCTGCAACGCTTTCCTGTAACCACAAATGAAACTTAATGGATCTATAATTGAACATGTTGAACCAAGAGACTTTGGAGATGCAAAGGTTCGACGGGTCTATCGGCTTGTTCTGCTTTCGATGGCCCAGGGCCTTGGCGTCTCACCAGTTGCCGGCGGACCACCACATCTTCGAGGATGCGGAGCCTTGGCAAAGCGATGGCCGAATCGCAAACTGAGAAGGTGTACTCCTGGGTTCAGTGCCCTGTGTAAACCTCGGACAAAAAGCCTTGTAAATTGAACCATTGAATCACGACGCCATCCTGTAAGAAAGTGGTTTCTTTCAAACAACATGCACAGGGGGTTTATTTATGGTTCGGCGCTTCACATGTCTGAATTATGAAGGGCGAGAGGAATATTTTTGGGGCTTGTTTGCAAGGTTCCTGGCCATTTCGCGTGGATGCTGATCTAAACTCTCAAAACACGAGAGAGATGGCCCGTTTAGAGGACTTCTTCCTGTACTTGAAGGTTGCTGTAGCCTTTCTTTTTTTTCTTCTCTTCTTGTCTAACCCAGTGTGAAATCTGTGTCGAACACGTGGGGGGTGCCCAAATGGGCTCACACGCCAACTGAGCCGCTGAGGATTTGGAGCTGCTGCATAACTTGGGCATCCATACCGAGTGGGTGCAGCACAACGCTTCTCCCGGAACCCTCTACGATGAGGCGCGAAAGCGCGCAAGTCGTGTATGTCTCTCTCTCTCTCTCTCGGTATGTTGTACGTGTGTATATATATACATATATATATATGTATACATGGTACCCCCCCCCCCCTCCGTGGACCCTGGTTTTGTGAGCTTGAGCTGTGTTTTTCTAGCTTTTTATGTTTTTTGCCTTGCTATGTATGTATGCATGTCTGCATACGCATGTAATGTAAGCAAAGATATCAACATTTGCCATCTGTCGGAGTCTGCATCCATCTCAGAGGATTGGGACAACCAGGTTATTTTCTTTCTTCTGGGATTCAAGATTCAAGAATCTGAGCAAATTCTTTCGGGAATGTTGAATCTTGAATCGCAGATGTTTTTTTCTTTTTAGAAGCAATCCAGGGTTGTCCCAGTACTCTACGTGTTCAATACATACTTCTGCAACCAAGCATGAGCACCCATCTGCAGTCATATGCAATTCTCCGAGTTCCCGCAGTTTCTGGATTCAAGAGGAGAAGATTCTCGGAAAATATTTCAATCTTGAATATTCAATCCAGTGGTAAAATACTTTCGAGGTTTTAGAACAACTTGAAAGTGGTTTGGGGCTGGCCCAACTAGAAAGTTTTTCGGGGCTGGACAGGGTTGATGATTCTCAGGAAAGTTGTTGTCTGTGCAATCTTGAATTTTGACTCCGCACTTTCAAGTGTTAGAAGAACTTGAATGTTGTTTGGGTTTGGCTCGCATCTACATGTGTACTCAACAAATGCAACTTTCAAGCTGCTTAGAATAGGAACTCCTTTCCGAAATTGCTGTTGAATTGACTTGGAATTGCATTTACTTTCAACTTGCATGGAGTTGAAAAAAGGAGTACGTTATTCAAAGATTGAATTTGGTTCACATTTCTCGGACTTAGATTTGGAGACACTCACATGGTCTGAAGTGTCTGCTAATTGCAGTAACTTACGCAATGCAAGTCTAAGGTATCTATGTGGAATTTGATGGAACTTATTCTCGTAGGATTTCTGTGTTAAAGAGTATCTAAATAGGTTGTCCCTTTCAAAGATGACTTGTAATGAAAAGGCTTTTTTTTTTTTTTTTTTAAACACATGTTCTACATTGATTTGTTTGATCAGAATCGAAATGTAATTTGATAAGGACACATCTCTAGTAGTATGTCTCGTTTTAACAAGGATGTAAACAGGCTGTTTCGAAAAATAGGTTTTCGTTGGACCTATTATTCAATATGGATTTTTTTCAAGTCTCTTTTTGAATCATTTTGAATCAACTATTGTTGAACTTCCTTCTTTTTTTCAAAGTGACACATCCTAATTTCATTTCCAGTTTTAAAGATGATGTACATAGGATTTCCTTTCCAAGGACTATGTAAGAGGACTTGCTTTCCCATGATTTGTTTCCATTGCCTAATTAGAGTTAAAATTCATTTGAATAAGGAAATACGTCTATATAGTAGAATTCTTCACTTTAAAGAGGATGGAAAAAAGGATTTCCCTCTCAAACAAAGATATATTTGGAGTCTACGACATCACAAGACCCAAAGAAGCACGAAAACAAATTGCTACTGCGCTGCTGCTACTGTCCATCCAGGCACATTGAAAAGCTTCAACACCCCAAAACAGGCACATTTCATGGGGAGGTGGCATATATATATATGTATATATATATATATGTACACACATGTTTACATATATATATATATGTACACACATGTTTACATATATATATATATGTATGTATGCAACCCCTCCCCCACCTGCCGCGCCCCCGTGGACCCTGGTGCTTTTGCGCCTTTTGGGGATGATCAATCTAGAATCTAGAGACTTAAATTCTCGAACTTCTAATTTTGGGTCCCCAAAGATTGATAATTTGGAGCCAGGAGTCCTCCAACATGTCCCGATGATACCCTTTCCAAACAGGATTTTACTTCAACTAGAATTGGATTTTTGAATACTGTGTTGTTTAGTAAGGATATAGTGTTCCAAAATGTGTTTTATGTTCAACTACAACTACAAAAATAAAACAAAAACAATTCCTTTTCAAATAGGAGTTACATGAACATGTAAATATAGTTTCGGGTAAACTCCGACCAATCATTTGCAAAATAATTAGATAGGAGTTTATTCCCAAATATATTATAAGTGATAAATACAATCTAATACGAACACATTTCAATTGGCAGTTGATAATGACAATTGAATAGACACTAATTCTTACATATAACTCATATAAAATATGGTAAACATGTCAGAGACTTCTAAAAGGACATTCGAAATACGTTTTGTGTTGTTTACATTCTGGCCCTTTTGTAGAATAAGACAGGGCCCAAATCAAACTTGTCAGATGGTGTTTCAAATAGACAAGGTTCAAATTCTATACTTCCTCGTAGAAGGGATTCAAGCTAACTCAATTGTATTTAAAGTCTTGTTTAGGCAGGAAATCACAATTCATTCTATCTCAAAAGGCGGAGGTAGTAGATGAGCAGAGGTGGACCTTCAGTCTGCGGTGAGGGGGTCACTGGATCGCTAAGCACTTGAAAGGATTTTACCACTGGATGGAAGATTCAAGGTTGAAGATTACACAGAAACCTTTCCTGAGAATCGTCAATCCTGAGCGCACTTTGGCTGAACAAGCTCCACGTTTATCAACTTGTTGTTGCAAGAGTAGTACGCAAAGTACACTTTGGCAGCTTCAACGTGTCTGTATCAGCTTTGTCCTCGCGTAAACCATCCATTTGGGGAAGGGATTTCATTCCAATGTAGATTGCCATTGATGTTGAATATCCAAGTCAATGATACAAGTGCTCCATATCCTTGTATTCACGAATCCAGTCAATCTACGAGATTCCCAGTTCCACCCTCATGTTTGAGGGTCAAATCGAAAGGAACAAACATGATGAACCACACTGCATTTTGCTTTTTTCCCCAACAGCTGAAAGCTTTGGGGTCTCAGCCCAGATAGGGTTCGGGGTGGTCCGGGGCGGCCCTGAGGCAAGGTTCCATGTGGGTTCCACCAGGGTTCCACCAGGGTTCCACCAGGTTCTGCGAGGGCTGCGGGGTGGTCCGGGGTGGTTTGAGGTAAGGTTCCACGAGGGTTCCACCAGGGTCCCACCAGGGTTCCACCAGGGTTCCACCAGGTTCTGCGAGGGCTGTGGGGTGGTCGGGGGTGGTTTGAGGTAAGGTTCCACGAGGGTTCCACGAGGGTTGCCACCAGGGTTCCACCAGGTTCTGCAAGGGCTGCGGGGTGGTCCGGGTGGTTTGAGGTAAGGTTCCACGAGCGTTCCACCAGGGTTCCACCAGGTTCTGCAAGGGCTGCGGGGTGGTCCGGTCTGAGGTAAGCACGAGGGTTCCACCAACCAGGGTTCCATGAGGGTTCCACCCGGGTTCCACCAGATTTTCGCCAGGTCTGCAAGGGCTGGGGGGTGGAGCAAGGTTCTGCGAGGTATGGTTCCATGAGGGTTCCACCAGAGTTCTAGCAGGGATCCACAAGGTTCTGCAAGGGCTGCGGGGGTCCGGGTCCATGGGGCTGTGGGATGGTCCGGAGGTAAGGTTTCACAAGGTTCCACCAATTTCCGCAAGGATTCCACAAGGGTTCCACAAGGCTCCACAAGGCTCCACAAAACATTCCATGGTTTGGGTCTGGAGGGAAGCAACGTGCTACCGGAGCAGTAAATTGCGGGCTCAGAAGATCGCTTTGCCCATGGGCGGAACACTAAGCAAAACCGAAATCAGTGTATTGTGGAAAATCAGACCACGCTGCTGCGGGACTGACTGTGAAGCAGAGTAAATGCTTGGCATTACTGAGTATTACTTGGTGGGCTTTGGGTTCCAAGAGTTCCACACTGCGATGGCTATGGGGTAAGGTTCCAAAAACGCTCCACGAGGTTTCGAATTACCAGGTTCTGCAAAAGCCATGGGGCAGCCCTGAGGAGAGGTTCCCAAAGTTTCACGCTGAGTTTCCACGAGGATGGTTTGCGAGGTTCACACGGCCGGGGCCCGATTGCAGTGTGGGGGGCCCCCGTTGGTGGGATTGCACCGTTGGGCCCCGCTTGGGCCCCGATTGCACCGTGGCCCTGATCGGCCCCGATTGCGCCGTTTAACCCCGATTGGGCCCCAATTGCGCTGTCGGGCCCCGATCGGGCTTCATTGCGCCGTTGGGCCCCGATCAGGGCGAAGAGTGCTTTGCTTTGCGTTGCAAAGTTACAAGGCGGCATCCTCAGCAAATCCGGCGGTGAGGTGGGTCCCGGGGCGGATTCTGGGAGGGTGTGGTGCTGTTAAGGATATCGCCTGAGCCTATTTTGCTTTCTGACCACACATAAGAAGAGGTGGGGGCATCTATACAGGCTTGGGGTATACTGGAACAGTGTTCAGGTTTTCAGATACTAGCGCATTGGAGCACTTGGAGCCTGGAGAATTGAGGCCCAAAAGACAAATACCTACATGTGTTAAGTCATGGGATTCAAGATTCAAGACTTCTAAACATAATTTTCTCACATGATTGAATCCTGAATCTTGACTCCCGATCTCAAAACAAATGGTCTCAAGGGTCAATCTCAAGTTGTTCAAAACATATTTTCTTAGATTGTTGAATGTGTGTGTGTGTGTGTAAATGCTTGTGAGTGTGTGGGTGTAGGTGTGTGCTTTTGTGTATGTGTGTCGGTTCGTGCATATATATATATATATGTGTCAGTTTGTCAGTTTGCACGTGTACCGGGACTGGTCCCAGGGACCGGTCCCGGGACCGGTCCTGGGACCAGTCCTGAAACCAATCCCAGGACAGGACCGGTCCAGGACCGGTCCCAGAACCCAGGACGTCCCAGGATTGAGTCGTGGTGCGACCGGACTGGTGTCGATCCCACCTTAAACCACTCCAGACAGCTCTTTCCTCCGGTCAAACCGCTCCAGACACCTGCCTGGGCACTTTCAGGACTTGTGTCCGTTTGTTTGTTGTTTGATTGGTTGGTTGTTTGTTTGTTTGCCCGCCTGCCTGCCTCACTGCTGTTTTTTTGCTTGCGTTTGCTTGCTTTTGCTGGCTTTTGCTTTGCTTTTTTGCTGGCTTTTGCTTGCATTTGCTTGCTTTTGCTCGCGTTTGCTTGCTTTTGCTTGCTTTTGCTTGCTTTTGCTGGCTTTTGCTGGCATTTGCTCGCGTTTGCTCGCTTTTGCTTGCTTTTGCTTACTTTTGCTTGCTTTTGTTTGCTTTTCTGGCTTTTGCTTGCTTTTGCTTGCTTTTGCTGGCTTTTGCTTGCATTTGCTTGCTTTTGCTTGCTTTTGCTTGCTTTTGCTTGTTTTTGCTTGCTTTTGCTTGCTTTTGCTTGTATTCCTTGCTTGCTTGCCTGTTGGCCTGTTGGCTTGTTGGCTTGCTGTATTGTCGTTGCCTGTGAGATGAACTAGTACACAACGAGAGAAAACGAGTCTGTGTGTCACATTGGATTTGGGCCTTTGTTCGTTCTCTCCGGATCTCATTTCGCTTTTAGTTGGCACACCGAGTCCCCAAGAAGCTTGAGCGAGCCAATCCCTGCCAGAAACTAAGGACACATGCCGTACTCCAACTCATTTTTATAAAGAGCCGCACCCTCGCAAGCAGCGGATTTACTCTCCAACATGGCAGCAGGCTTTCGGAAGACGATTTTCCCGAACGTTGCTGTGAAGCTGTGTTGATGGGTAAGGGTTGGGGGTGGGGCAAACAGCCAGGACTATAGGGCCCTTTTGGGAACCCCTCACAGAACCCATCTACCCTTCAAAGCAGGTTCTAAGATCCTTTCGTGGGTGTGGGGGCGACCTTGGTTTCCCAGTTTGGTGAAAGGTACAATTCCTCTTTTTGGTGAAGTCCCTTTGCTCACTCCCCAGGTTCATGGACTTCAAACTTGTTGGAAAGACAATTTTTGGTGGTATATAAGAAGTCTGGTTAATATTTTTGGGCCAATCCACTCGATCGGAAGTGAGTTTGTCCATTGGTGCCAACTACGTCATGGATCACCTCGCCGGCCGTCCCAGGCGCTGCGCTATGAGAAGGGCTCTGCGATCTTGTCCACCGGGGCGTTGGCGGCATTTTCAGGCAACCGAGCGGCCTTTGTCCCTGTCGTCTCCTTTGTCCGACATCCTTTTTTGCATGCAAAGATGTAGTATCCGCGCATCTACATGATCTGCATCCATATCGCCCAATTCTCACTCCACCCACGCTCTTGGAACAAAACAGGTGCGAAGACGGGCCGCTCGCCGGTGGACAAGCGCGTGGTCTACGAGCCTTTTGGCTGGGCTTGGCATGTGCGTGGAGTGAGAGAGGCGACCCGGGTTTGGGGTGCCATGCTTGGCGTCGTGTGGCTGAATCCCTTCTGGACTAGGAGCAAGCAAGGCAGCTGCAGCTTGAAGCATTTAGACGGTTTGGCACGGGCTGGAGTCCTTGTTAGTTGTCATTTGCCATCTCTTTGTACCCAGAGAGGAGCTCTCAGTGCAAAAACATTGGACTTGTTTTGTACGGCTTGATGCCTAGAAGAAGCTGCTTTCACAATTGGACTTGGGGATCGGCAAGGGTCCATTTTGCAACCCTGCTACTTGTAGGGTGTGTTTGTTTGAGGCGAATTTTTTCCCCTCTGATCTCAAGACATACCCAAATGCGGCAACATTCTAACATGGGTCTTTGGTCGGCTTTCAAGAAAATGTCTCCTGTCAATTGGGGATTAAGGACCATTCTCACATATCTTTATAGACACGGCCGCATGTATGGTCAAGACCGGGCGCTGTGCGACATCAAGTACCCTCTCCCCGTTGCCGTGGAGCCTGACATTTCGTGGAGGTTTAGACGATTTTCCACATGTTTTCACGGGGCCATTTCTCTGGGTTGCCCAACGGCGGGTAAGGGATCTTCATGAAAGCAGCCGGGTGACACACACACACACACAGACTCAGGTCCACTACCTCGGACGATGTTTGGTGGGGTGCGGGACCCTGGCCGGTCACCGGGTGGAAAACAAACAGAGGCCCGAAACAAAGTTGGATACATTTGGGCGCGTTTGGGCGTGTCCTTTCTTGAGGGTACTTTTTGTTTAGTTCCTGAGGGAAACGAAAGGAAAACCGAATCCATTTGGGATTCCCTTAGAGAAAGAGAGAGAGAGAGAGAGGGAGAGGGACCCATTGGGCCAGTGAGAATATCCCCTTGAACCCAGCTTCAGCGGATGTCCAAAGGATGTACCCTAGGAACCCTAGGCCGAAGTATCCACCCTCGGAACCTACCTGGGAACCCTCCAGAAACCGCAAAGTCGGACAGGGAGGTTCAGGAAGTCCAAGACGTCATGAAATGGGTATCATAGAACAGGGTTTGCCACAACATTTTGACATGTTGACAAGCATTGCTGGTAGTGCTTTTTGAAGACTAGAAGGCCCGGCCCTCAAGTTCCTCGTCAAACACCGTGCGCCAAAAGTGGCCTTCATCTTCTCATGTCAGGAAGGTTCATCAACTTGTTCTCTCGTTTATGAAATATAGGAAATGCCTAGATGGTTCAACTAATGGTCCCTACTAGAGACCACTTTCACCAAACAGCCTCAACAGCTTGAGGTGAAATTGGTCCAAGCCTCTTCCTGAGCGGTCAAGAGGCTTGCGCTTTTCGCGCGTACCTTTTGCAAACCTCGGGGACAAATGGGTCCAGGGTAGTCTTGAAATGGATTGATCCAGATTGTTTTCCTTATAAAGCCAAATGGTGAACCTAACGTCGAAGGTGAGGAACTGTGTCTTTGGAGGGGCGGTGTTTCTCGCTCAAGAGCCTTTTTCCAGGTGCTGTGAACATCCCACTCTCGGAGAATACCTTCAAGCGCCTTGCCATGACAGGAGCAATCCGCAAGCATGCGTAGATGTTTGTATCTACATACATACATAATACATGTTCCATCCCATTGCATTACATTACATTGCATTACATTCATTACGTTTTTGTTGCATACTTACAGAACCATACCATTAGCTTTCCTTTTCCCATTCCCACTACCATTTCCGTCACCATCACCATTACCATTCCCACCGCCATTATCAGTATCATTACCAATAGCATCACCGTTAACTACATTACATTACACCACATCGCATTGCACTGCACTCATTAGATTGCCTTGCTTATCATATTGCTGTACATTGCATACATGCATCTATTTACACCTACCTACATTTCTTCATATCATTTGCGTAGACATCCTCCCTCTGGCAGATTGCAACAGGGCCACATTGCAATGGACACATATTCCCACCGCGAGCCGTGCGGAAGCCTTCCGGGGCTCGAACACACAGCCTGGCAACGCACCTTCACCGTTGGTACCAGCCCACTATTACAGAAGGGGGTATGTACCATCGTGCGACTCACATCAGTTTTGATCGCTGAGGATCAACCGAGAGCGTGCCATCGACTACCTTAACACTCGGGACCACCGGAACCGAGGGGAGCGTGTCGCGTGGATCGGGGAACGAGGTTCTTGCCTCGTGACCACAGTACCTCAAGGTGATTGGTTGATTCGCCCGCCGGATTCCAACCCTGGTGAGTGGCAAGCAGATAATGTCTTGCTTGAACCTATAGAACACAATGCTCCCGGGTGCTGATGGACTTGTGTCCGATTTCAGTGCAGCAGGCAGTTCATACCAGAGACAAATCAGAAGCCACCTTGCTTGGCCACATGCAGCTTGATTTCTAGAAAGGGTTACCTATTGGCATTGGTTGCCAATATCCTGCATGTTTTAAGCCGGTGTTGCTTGAACACCTTATTCAACATCTGCTGGGTTCTCAAATCAGGGCTCAAGGCGCCAGTTTTCCTTGCTTTCTTCCAATCTGATATATTCTTATCAAGTCTGTCCAAAAGGAACACCCTGAACAGACCGACCCCATGAAAGTGTAGGCGTCCTCTTTAGAGGTCTGCCCAACTTGTCCCATAGCGGCGAAAGAACAGCCCACAAGTTGTGTTGGTCTTGAAGTACCTAAGGGCTCAATCACATGCCATAGGAGAGATGGCCCCGATAATACAAGTATCTTACTGTCTCAAACAACCACATGGAAACCACTAGGGAACACAATTACATGCCGCGTCTGCCCAAATGCCCGATGTTGATATCTAAGGGTTGATTCTTTGTTCATGTCAGTGTCTTCAGCCATCGTTCAGACCAGAAACCAAAAAACAACTCCAAGGGTGCTGGCCCATTATCTACTTCAAAGGATCCCTGCAGAGAACGAGAAGGGCACTGCCAACATATAGTAGGGGCACCCCTCAAAGGCGAAAATGCAAGCGATTTCTTTTGTTTTCCCATGCAGCCGCATGGTTCATTGGATGAAGGAGCGGCTCTACGTCTTCGACGGCTTTGCCGGGTGGGACCCCGAGCACCGCTACAAGGCTTGCGACCGTCCCGAAATGGACGTAGGGGGATGAAGGTTAGGGGATCAGCAGAGATGTGGATATTTACTTTCCGGACTCTTTGCAGTAGGACCTCTGAATACCAGAGGTTCATTGGACCTTTTGGCAGTCCCTTAAAAGGTACAGTAAAGGCCGCCGAGTCCGCATGAGGTTTAGGCTGACACCATCCCCAATCTGTAGGGGGTTCTAACGGGCCTCATTTGACACATTTTGTTGAATGCACAGGTGAGATCAGCTAGATTCGATTTCTACAAGGGTTCCTGTATTGATGAAGTCCCGCTCTCTCGATGCACCCCGTTTTGTTGCGTCAACCCTGACTTATGTTTTGATTAATTTTCCCTTTGTTTTGTGAGCACCCTGACTTGCCTCTTCCCCCAACAGCTGAAAGCTTTTGGTCGCTGCCCAGATAAGCCCTGGCGCGGCTCTGGGCTAGGTTCCAGAAGGGCTCCTGGGGCTGCTGTTGATACTACCCGAGCACTCAAAACCCGGATGGATGAAGTAAGGAAGAGGCCAAGCCAGAATTCGGCGTGGCCGCCCTTTCGATTTGCCTCGGTTTTGGGTCCCTGTAAACGGGTCTTGATCTCCGGCCTTGCCTCATCATCGCGTCGGAACCTGCGCGCAGATCCGCGTGATCACCAGCCGCGCCTACCACGCGCTCTTCATGCACAACATGCTGATCAGGCCCACGGAGGAGGAGACCACATCGCCTGTGACACATGGGTGCAAATGGGCTGTCGCGTTTTGAGGGGTTCTCATTTGACTGTGTCCCGGTGTTTTCCCTCACGATTTAGGTACATTCCCAGGGTATCACTTTGACGGCCTGAGCGAAGCAGACAGATGGTGCAAACACACTATCACAGGCAGACATAGAGAGAGAGAGAGAGAGGCACAAAGTCTTGCTGATGGAATGAACAATCTGTTAGACACAAGCAACAAGCACGGTCTACTTGGACCCTACCAACCCACCCAAACTTTCAGAGCAGCTGGGGGTCGAAGCTTTGGAGGAGCTGGCAAACTTCGGGCAGCCGGCAGCTCGGCAAGGAGGCTTTGTCAACGAGGCCACTTGCATCACTTTTTAAGCCTTGTTCCCTGTCTCCTGAATCTTGCCTAAATCGGATTCCCAGCAACCAATTGACCCTGGGGATGTCAAAAAGGGATGTGGACAATCTAGTAGAGATTGTGCAAACCTGCTGATATTAGCCACAATGAAAGCCTGGGTAGTTGAAGTTTAGTGGAAAGTCCCTGCAGCCAGAAATCGGGGCGGCGTTGCGCTCTCTATATTTCGACCAATTGGGTATCTAGTTGCCCTATGAGAACAGAGCCTCTGCTAGTCACACACGCACAACCTGGGTATGCCTTTGGCTTATCCCTTGCCCCTCAAGACACGCGCATTTTCCTTGCCATTTGTAATCTGGTGAAGCGACATGGTCAGAGCCTTTGGGACCTCAAGCGGCTTGCCCTTTCGATGAGAAAGAAAGTGGCAGCTGTGCTGTTTCCAGAAGGACGGTCTTCCCGCACGAAACACCCTGGTATATACTTGGAGGATCCAGGCCCATGTGATGAATCAAGGGGTACGGTTCTCTCCTTTCCAGGACCAAGGGCTCTGATTGGGGTGTCACTTATCAGATGTGGACAAGACGCAAATTACGCTGGGTGGCAAGACCACTTGCAACTTGGTAGGGTTGATAGGCCAAGCATCCACAAACCTTTATTCGATGTTTGTATTTTGAGGGCCTTGCTGATATGTACTCAAGTTAGCAAACCATCCATGTAGAAAGTCGCGCACATCCTCATTATGTTGGGTATTTGTGTATTTGGTATAATAATACATATATATATATATATATATAATATGTATTTCTATGTTTGTATCGTTGGCTGGCAGGATCCTCTTGCCTCCAGTTTTGGGGTCGGTGCATTGCTTTGACAAGCACCCAACTCGAGTTTGGTTTCCCGGCTCCCGTTGAAGTTCAGCGAGGGTTTGATGGCCACTGTCCAATTTCTCCGATCAGAGCCGATGGCACTAATCGGCTCAAACCATCAGACACCAAATTCCCAAGCGGAAAGCTTGCCGCTCTCGTTTTTTTGTGTGTTAGCTTTCTCCTGCGCAGTGTTTGTTTTTTCTTCTTCTGAGAGACGCTCAGTTAGTTCCTGCACCTGCACTATGGCTGCTCTTGTCAAACTTCCGAATGACCATGGGAATATTGGGAACCGCAAACAAATAAGCCCATACCAACAGGGGGTGTCATCCACACAAATGATCTGGATTCCCACTAAAAGGGGAGACCCCCCCAGTCAAAATCAACCGGAATTTGTTTGTTGATATTTTTTAAACTTTTGAGCTTGCCTCTTGGTTGGATCAGAGGTTAAGTTTTGGATAGATCCTTGATAGGTGACTCCGTTTGTCCCATTTGAACAGTTTCCCGGAGTTTCCTTTGACAGAATTTCGGCCGGTGACTCTGTTGTTGGTGCTCCAAATAAACAAATATGGGTCTGGGTCAATAGGGTAACCCCAATCTGAACCCTGGTACATGGCAACAAGGACTAAAACCCGCAGTCCCTGGTAGCAAAACTTTAACCCATACTCATATGTGTATTCTACCAATTTGTGTATTCCACCAAGCCAGTTGAAGCGAGGTCTTTGGAAGGTTTGGGGCAGTTTTTCAGGGTCTGTAGGTGGTTCACTTGCGATACTTCTGCACAAAGCAGACCTATCCTGTACTTTGCCCAGCTGGGAGTTTCTCATTTTCTTTTCTCGGGTTGGTATTTAAAGGGTTAGGAGGGTCCCAAGCAGCCGTTTTTATGGGACCAAACTCTGTTTTGAGAAGCACCCATATGGGCGTTTCTTTTCTTGAAACCCTTTTTGGGTTGGTTTAAGACACCAAAAACAAACCACTACACTTTTGGGGCTTCCCAAACCAACCAAAAAGAGGGTCCCCGTAAAAAGGGGCGACCCCTTCTCCTTACAGGGGGTCTCCCTTAACAGGGGCACACACCTCCATCCCCCCCTCCCCCCCGCTGGTTTTTGCGGTCTGAGGACTACACCATCTACAACGCCGGGGCCTTCCCGGCGAACCGGGCCACCGAGGGCATGACCTCGGGCACCTCGGTGTCCCTGAACTTCAAGACCGGCACCTCGGACCCCAAGATTTCACAAGAACCAAAAGAGAACAAAAGGAGACAAAAGCAAAAAAGCAAGCACAAAAAGGAACAAAAGCAAAGAAGAAAACCACAACTCTTATCAAAAGAAGTGCCCTTTTCCTGGTTCTCAGCCATCCGGTTCCTGGGTTTCCGAGGTTTTTTCTTAGTTCGCCATCTGGTCCTTTTTTGTTTTTTTGAAACCCGCTTTTTGGTTGATCTAGTGGCTCGCTCTCCATTTAACCAAAGCTGTTCGCAGGGGATCCGAGCCCAGTTTTGGCTTAGAGGCTGAGGGGAAAACCTTTTCTTCCCACCCTCGTTCCGACCAAGTGGACATTGAGAGAAAGCCTTTGAAGGACCTGATCCTTGTTCTCAAAAGCCCTCTTTCCAACGTGGAAGTGTTTGGGCTCACAAATCTGGGTCTGTCATTTTGTTGGACACCCGTTTTTGGGGAGTTTTGAAGGGAAACCAAAAGGAAAACCACGATTTGGCGGGAACCCCCCCCAATAAAGAGACATCCATCTTAAGTTATCGGCCCCAGCCTCTTTCCAGCAATCATGGAAGTGGACAGCGGGCTTCCCCAAAAGGAAGGTAGTCTTCCAAATCCCGGGCAAGTGAAAGGGACCCCCCCTGTTTCTGACTTTGACAACCCCCACAAAGCCTCAAAATCATTGGAATCCAAAACACGGCTCTGCGACAAACACAAACGGGACGGCTACAGGAAACTTGGCGTAGATCCTTGGCCTCCTGACTGGTTTGGGAAGTCGTGCGTAATCAAGCAAGTTCGGGGAGACCGGCCAAGTTTCGGGAAAACCGTCTTCAGAAGACGCGTGTGTTCCCAGTCACCAGCAAGCAGTTTGGGCAGGGAGCCACTCTCAGCCAACCGCCCCCGTGGTTTGGGGGTAGGGCCCCCGGGGCGAGCGTGGGGGGGGGGGGGGGGTTGGTAGGCATCCCTGAATGACCAGGACCCTCAGAAACAATGGTGGGTTTCCTTGGGAGTACATCGTCCCTGTGAGGGAGTACAGGATTTTGACGCATGGCCACATAACTCAATGATGGTTGTAGAAACTTGCTGGTTTGAGGAGTTCTCGGTTGGCGGTGCCAGCGGCCTGGGAGTACACCAGGGTTGGTCTTGCCCTGTCCAGTTCCACATGAAGACATGCGACCGAGAACTTCAGCAAGCCAGCCTTTTTTCACTGGGTTCAGCTCCCGTCTCGGTTTGGGAGGTTTCCAATGGAGCGAGGTTTGTAAAATCATCGGAATCTGGGTGCCCTCAAATAAAGACACACCCAGAACGCCATGCCTTCTGGGCGGCAGTGCAAAGATGCAGACTGCTGAATTTTCGCCGAACAGCTCACAAGCCTTTAGGGAACCGTCCAGGGAGGTCTTAACAGGGACCTCTCCTATAAGCGACCTTCACAAGCGAACACGGAGCCAGGAGTTGCCCGGGACCGTTTCCTCTCGGCGCTTGTCTCTGGGTTAGGTGAGGTCGTGATCCTGGGCACGCAATATGCCGGCGAGATGAAGAAGGGCGTCTTTACAATCATGAACTACCTCCTGCCGAAACGTGCCTGGACTGTTTTTTTGTTTTGGGGGGGGAGGTTTCAGCGCTTCTTTTCGGTTAGCAGTTCTCCCCAGTAGGAGGACCCGAACTGGGGTCTAGCAAACGGGTTCTGATCGCTTGCGCATGACCTTCGGACTTGTGTCGCATCTCAAAGCATTTGCCAAAATTCCAACGAATTGGTCACTCAATCTTATGAACAGATGTTTACGCACTTTGATCTGCAACTTTGGCTAGTTC